AGACAACACTTTCATGCCAGCCCAACGATAAAAAAGCTGTCCTTATTGGTCCTAGTGTTCAGGTACAGGCCACAGAGTGGTAGCTAGGTCAAAGCAAACCACTGGGGATGCTGTCATCAGCTGGGCTGGGGGGCTTTGCTGGACAACTTGCTGGGCAGGTTTCTATGGCTCCTGGGTGACGCAGAGTAACAGGAGTGGTCATTAATATTTGTAATTAAATCTGCACCAGCATCCCCCTACCAAAGGCCACAGCACATGAACACATAGGCACAGCGTAGGAAGTGAGTCAGCCACCCAGGCATGATAATCAATCACAGATCTATCCTACCAACATGCCAACATTTTTCATTCCTGCTTACTTCCTTTGCGGATAAAAATCCTCCATGCTGAGTGCTCTGTTAACCCCAGAGGTCCTAATATTCTCTCCTGAATAATTTAACCAACAGTATCAAAGGCAATATTGACCAAAAGTAGAGCTGTTGTTGAGGCCGTGTTCTTAATGCCATCCTGATATGGCCGCTCTCATGTTAATAGTGGCTCAGAAGAGATGTAAAGGGATATGTTGTTTTTCATCACAATGACAGTCTCGGTCCCAGACTTGTCTGGGAGGAGACCCACATGAGATATTGAAACCGTAGACCCACATCGTTCTCCCCAACTCCCGCCCACCTAACCAGCTGAATAGCGACTATCTGTGTTCCGCATGAAATAAGTAATAACATTTCAGTCAAAAACAAAACAGCCAGAGACAGCGAATCTTAGGTGGACAAGTCTTAACTGAGGCAGCACTGTCTGTCTTCAGGCCCGGCCTAGTTCTCTCCACACAAGACAGTTACTGTGGTAGAAGGTCCAGCTCTCCTGAAATAGGGGCAAAGTGAAAGGTAACAGTAAAAGCATACAAGCATAGTTCCATTCCATTGTTTTTACAGGGGGGGGGGGTTAAGTTGCCTAGCAACCAATTGACGGAATGAATCACTTCTCCACAATAAGCTTACTGATTGACCGAACAGAGCTGATTAGATATGTTGTCATTCAAATGAGGAACATGAAAAGAATACAGACGCGAGGAGTTTCTGTGGTGAGGAATTGTTTTTACATGCTTGTCAGTCACTCGGAGGGAGAACAATTCTTGTTGAATCATCGCACTTGAGGAGACATGGCACGGCGGTTTATTAGTGTATCTGTTACGTTATGGAACTGCGATACACCACATTTTAGATGTGATCGATGCGAGCATAATGAAGGAGCCACAGAAAAAGGGACTGTTTATGAACTAAATTAGTGTGTTAAGGGTTGAGCCAATGCTAATGGTTTTGAACAGTGCAGTTCTGTTCCGGTCAACAGCAAATGTGCAGTGTTCAGGTTATTTATCTATCTCCTTCAAGTCAAGTCAGTTTATTTAAATAGCACAGTTTAAATCTGCCACTTGTTGACCAAAAGTGCTTTAAACATTAAAAATGTTTAAAAAATGTACAGTGATTAATGGGTAATACAGAGACAAAAATACACAAAACACTACAACAAGAAGAGGCGGGTTTTTAGCCTGGATTTAAAACATTTGGGGGGGGGGGGGTGATCAAACATGGAGAGGGTTAGGGTTAGGGTTAGGGTTAGGATTAGGGTTAATCAATCAAAGCAGCAGCTTACTGGGTGACTTCATTAGTCGCTCATGGGAGTTTTACTTACACAAAAATGATTGGTTTGGAGAGATAACCATTCAGATTGTAGAGAAGGTGGGTCCAAGGACCTAGAGGAGGCAGGACCAACTAATCAGATGTATTGGTCCTGCCTCTTTTAGTTGCTTGGACCCACCTTCTCTACAATCTGATTGGTTATCTCTCCAAACCAATAATTTTTCCTTCTGCCCTCAGATCATTATTGTCTAAGTAAAACACCCACAGGCTCGATGCTCTAGGGCGACAGCAGGGATGTATGAGGTTGTTGAGAACAGCTGGAGTTGGCCTGTTCAAAACCTCAAAAACGAGCAATAAAATTTTTAAAGTTAACTCCATAATTTATTGGTAACCAGTGTAACGATGCTAAAATTGGGGGGGTGGCATTTGTCTGGGCCCAATCAGCTCATCATACCCAACAGCTGTTGTTCCATTGTCAATGGCCTTGATGGTCAGGACAGCACCCAGTGCTGGGAGCCACGGCAACAGCTCACTGTTTAAACAGGACGTCAACATTCCTTTTCTTTACTGGAACCTGGGCACCAGCCAGAAGGTAGCTGCATGAGAGCCAACATAGCGAATGCAAAGTGCCACCTCGGCCCATCGTCTTTCAAAGACGAAGGCTGCAGTGATTCTGTCCTCCAACGGGCCTCTTTAAGCAGGTCTTCATGCACGTCAAGGAAGCAACAGAAACAGTCCCAGTCATCCCCAGGCAGAGTCCCAGTCATCCCCAGGCAGAGTCCCAGTCATCCCCAGGCAGAGTCCCAGTCATCCCCTGCATGCTCCATCTGCACAAATGAAATTTCAGACCTCAGCAAGGCACCGGCAAGTCAAATCGTGGAGAAAACGGGAACAGGGTATGTTGGCACTGCATCAGTCTAGAACACTCCGCCTGGCTTCTTTCTTTGTCGTTTTAGTGAAACACTCTCACCCCCAAACACCACCCCTCCCAAGGAAAACAGAAAACAAAGCGGAGACTGGACCCAGATGCGCAGGACCAAAGTCAGTGCGGTTCAAGGGATTTTCTACAGAGCCGACTTTCTGGATGCTGTGAAGAAAAGACGTGGAGAACCTTTCGAGTGTGCGTCACACTTTCAGATAAAAAAAAAAAAAATCTTCTATTGGCTTTATTGCTAAATACCAATGGGATGAGAAATAGGTTGTTTTGCACGGTGCTGGAGACCACAATGTGTTGCTTTTAACCTGAGATTTTCACTCAGATTTCGCCTGAGTTCCTCTCAGTCAACACTTACCATTATTATAACTCATTATTAATAGCATGGCTGCATTATTCATTTGATTCACTGGCAGCTCTTCCTTGGCGCTGGGCAGGGGTTGCAGGCAGAGCGCAGACGGGAGGGCCACAGAGTCCACCCGTCAAGGTGGTCCATGTGTTTGGAACGCAGGAAGCCTCATGCCTATTCAGGAGGGGTTTGGCCTTACGCTTTGTCACAGCGCCCCTTGGCCGGGAGAACGGGCACTCGAAGCATACCGCTCCCCAAAATCAGCCATAAATCAACCGATTTACCACGTGGCCCTGACCACATGTTTTTTTTAAATACAAGAAAAATACTGACGGAAACCAGTATCCAAGGGGAAATAAGATACAGAAAGATAAATGAGAAGGGCTTATTAAAACCAGTCCTGCTTGGTTCTTGGCCGGCTCCCTGAACTCCAACAGCATTTGTCATAATCTGACACCTACGGAATGAGATCCCTGGACTTTCATTTACATTTCAGAGCCTTAAAAAGCCAACAGCTAGAGAGGAATGGTGTGAAAGTGCTGTGAAGACCTCGCTCTTGTCACTCGCTGTTTGTGTGTCCCACTGTGATCCAGGGAGCATTATTTTATGCTACTGTGTACCTGTATATAGATGGTATGACGATAAAGCCCACTTGACTTGATTATTAACAATGACTGGTCCCCATCACTTTGCCCCGCACTGCGACAGCCAGTGTTTGCGCGCTGCCTACGTTGATGGTGATGCCGGAGTCATAACGAGCAACAACCTGCAGCAACTGGAGAATGTTTCAACAGTCACGCTATGCATCGTGGTCGCCCCCTGGTGGCAGACACTTTTCACAACAGCATAAAAAGACACATGGCGTTCAAACCACGTGACAGCAAATAAACCAGGACAGGCGGGCACACCTGTAAACGTACAAAAATTAAAGGATAAACATACATATAACAACTATTACAGGAAAATAGAGACACCTGAACGTTTCAGTCTCTTGTTAAAAATTTAATTGAGCACAATAAAACACATGTCCCACAAAACTCATAAAAACTAGTAACAATAATTTAAAAATATCCATCCTTCAATTCTTCCAATGGCTTATCCAGTACAGGGTCATTCTGGGGTCCATAATACCAGGGTTTCAGAGGAGCTACAGGTGGGGGACAGGGGAGTAAGAAAGAGGTCTGGGGTATGATGGAGGCACGTGACTACAGTGTGACACAGTCCTGTAATCCAAATGCACCCCCTGCTGGCAACTCAAGGACAATAGCATTTGAGCAAAATCAAACCAGGACACCCAATGAAGGGAACATTTTCTGACAAATTATAACTGTCTGGAATGTAGGCACGCACAGCAGGCAAGAGGATTAAAAACAAACTTCCTCAGCGAAACATTTTTGTATTCAGTATAACAATCAAATGAAATCGAAATGCATTACCTTTTCTGTCCAATAGAGGTCACCAACACAAAGTGTAAGAGTGAGGTAATTGCACGTTCAGCAGCCACATCATTAGGTACACCTCTGCATTAACGCTAGCAGTCTACTTCTCCAAACAGCCAATCATCTGGCTGCACCTGAATATATAAGGCACAGAGACAGGGTCGAGAAGCTCACTTACTGTTTGGCTAGACATGACGTGATTTTAAATGTGGCATTACCGTAGGTGCCAGACATGGTGGTTCCACCGTCTCAGAAACAGCCACGCTTCTTGGATTTTTACATACTACAGTAACTAGATTTTACAGAGTGATATAAAAAAAAAATCCAGCGAAAGTTTTGCTGCCAGTAACACCTTGTTATTGAGATGTCAGAGGAGAACGGCCAGACGTGTTAAAGCTAATAGGACAAGCATAGATGTAAAAATAACAGTTTAAGTGGTTCTGAAGTGGGTCCTATCTTGGTATATAATTTACTAATTTAATACTGTATTTGTCTAAACCAGTGTTTCCCAACCCCGTCCTCTGGGACCCGCAGACAGTCCACCTTGAGCAGGCAGGGAGCAAAAATGTGGACTGTGTGTCGGTCCTTGAGGACTAGGGTGGGAAACACTGATAAACCCAGTGGAGTATGACGAAAACAACCAATTATATGGTAAAACACTTTTATTAATCCAAAATATAAAAACGAAACGCAAAATGCCCAACACACACACATCTTAAATACGTACAAAAAAATGCCAATACACAGGTCCTCTTTACACTTTGTTTAAATATGCATCCTGGCCGATCAGATCATAAGTAGACAGCGCTAAATGCAAGTGTAAATGAACACCAAGACACATTGTGATCCGATTACTCAAATCATTTGTCAAGGTGGTCTGGAGCACATCTGACCACATTTTTTGTAGTGTAAAGCCTAATGTGTCCTGATTCATCCTCGAGAAAGACGTCACACGTTGACCTTCTTGCGGAAGTGACATAGACAGTGATGGAGTCTGAAAACAAGTGGTCCCCTGGACACCTTGGAGAGGTATGATAGACCCACGTGTAAACATCGATGTGTCGCAGCTGTCTATTTGTGACCCGATCGTCCAAAGGCACATTTTAAAACCAAGTGTAAACAGTCACACAAACAGCAGGCACTTTGTAAAGGAATGTTTTCATAAGTCAGAGTGGAAATGGTGGAGGAATACTATAAGTGCAGAAACTAATGTGCTCATCGCAAGAAGAATTCTGGGTAGAAAGTTGAGAAGCCCAAGTACAATGAAGGTTCATGACAAAGAGCAGGTAGGAAATAAGGCCATACTCCTTTTCATGTAAAAACAAAATCCAAAACAGAGAGGATAAATAACAAAACAATAATAATACAGCAACGTGATTATAACTAAGGTCTCTGGGAATCTCTTATTCATAACCCCACAACTGCAATTCAGGCTTAACTAATTACTCATTGGTCCAGCAACAACAAAGAACATCACAGATGGACGGTTAGCCAGACAGAACTTATTACAGAACAGAATTAATTTTACTCTGTGCAAAAAAAATGTAGTGACTAACACAAAATCACAAAATCAATTTTTTTCCTCCAGCAGATGCTACAATGTTACTAAGTCCATTACTAAATTGACTTTGGACCTGTCCAGCAGGTTTTGGCCAATCCCAACCTTTTCCCCCAAGTGCAGATCCAATCACCTTTCAACTCTTGAGCAAACAGCAGGAGTAGTAGTCACACGGTGCAATGAAAACTGCTGAGGCACCCATGCATACAATCATGCATGCGCACACAATTTACATTGATATTTTCCTAAAACAGCACAGCATGCTAAAGCAGCATTCCATTTATGGAATCTGAAACAGAAAATGTATACAGTATACAGAGATACATTCATAAGCCAATTACCTCAAATACACTACTTTTTAATTGGAAGCCAGAAAATTTTCTAAAACGGCAGCCCTGCAGTTCCTGTATTCATGTAGGCCGCACAGCCTAATGAGTATTTAATTCACTCTCATTCCAAATGGATTTTAAATGGCATCTCCATCCGCAGTGTAACTTGGCAATGTGGAGACAGATGGTTAATACTGATGTTCTGTTAAACATCCAGCAGTGAAAGAGGTCCAGAGCATCTCCACAGCTCAAAAGGGGTCCAGGCGAAAACCAGTGTTACATTAAAACAGGCACTGAATAAAAACGTGGGGGAAAAACGGCTTAGATGTGAACTATTTTAATGGTCAGATAGGAAAAACAAAAGAGAAATACCCTGAGGGTTTTTTTCAGGACAGGATTGGGGGAAACTATACACTGAAACTTTCAGCAAGTAAGATGGGGGTAGTTCCTGTTCCTGGGGTGAAATCAATCATTCAGAAACCATGGAGTGACCTGCGTCAGACAAGGCACCAGTGGGGGGGTGGGGGGTTTACATGTTCCAAAGCTAATCCATTCTGTATGGAAATCCCAAGTCAATATATGACCCACATACTAAAAAATCTCTGTTCTTTTATAAGTTCTTTAAAAGTCAAGTAATAACACTTCAAAAGACCCGTTTTGAAGTTTTCACGTGGATCATACAGTAGGATTAAACTCTAGAAGAAGATTAAGGTCACTTTTAGCGCAGCTTACAATGGAAAGGACCACAGCTGTCCTAATAAATAATAATATTTAAGTGCTAATTATTGTTATATCCATAATTAATATATTATTACGAGAACTACCATTGTGATGATGATCATCATGATAAAAGCTGCCAATATACGCCAAACACTCATAGACTAAACAAAAACAGGCAACATGGTGATAAGCTGATATTCACTGACAGGTCAGCTTTGGGTCTCTAAGCCACTTCCAGATCCGGATCATCTGTTGTGGAGTCCGGCTATGCACCAGCATCAGGCTTCGGTAGGCACAGGGGTTTTCTCGGTACTTCTCCTGAATGTCGAAGGTCTTAAAGCCCTGGTGCTTCACAGGAGACAGGCCCAGCTTACGTAGGCACATGCCCGTGTAAACATCATCGATGGGGTAAAGGGATACCAAGCGGGAAATGTTACGTAGGCGTAGCGCCAGGTCCCCCGAGTAGAGGAAGCCCCCACCCCCGGCATATGGTGGATACGACCCAACAAACATGCTCTCGGGGATGTAGTACTTGACCCTCTTGTCTCGATGTGGCCCAGCATTCATAATCACGTCGCCAACAAACAGGTCTTTGGCTCTGGCCGGAGTCAGGGTGTTGAGGAAGTTAAGGACGCGAGGGGTGTTGACGAAGACATCGTCGTCCCCCTTGAAGACGAATCTCGCCTCGGGGCAGCGCCGTCCGAACCAGTCCAGAAAGAGCACCTCCTTGACGGTCAGGTTAAAGAAAGAGTCCCGGTAGTCCCAAATCAGGAGGTCCTTGTGCCGGGAACTCTCATACATCAGCATGTCTGAGAGTTGAGGGAAGTAGTCCACCTCTGTGGCATTACCCAGGAGAAACACCGTGGCAACTGTATAGTTGGCCATTTGGCCTGCTCGCCCCCAGGATTCCCTGATTGCCTGTCGCCGGTCAAAGTGTGGTGCCAGGGACTTGATTGCCAGCAACAAGAAAGGCTTATCTTTGCATATATGTGGCTGATCCACTACCATGGGGTACAACCTACATTTCATGTACATCAAGAAGTCCTTGAAGCGTTGCGGTAGGGAGTTGTAGTCTTTTATCTTGGTAGCTACACTTAAGTCTGGGGCACATGGTGCTAAGGAGGCGGTGTTGTTGACGGAGTCGTGCAGAGTGTTGCCGGAAGAATTATCCACCAGCAGGATGGGGTTGTGGGAGTCATCCAGCTTCCGTTGCTCCTGGTTCCAGTAGGCTCCACTGGGCACGGCTGGCCCCCAGAACTTCTCGCTGGGCACGAGCAGCTTGGCGGGATGTTTCTTGTCTTGGCCGCTGTTCCGCGACACGCTGACCATGACGAAGATTAACACGTTTACCATCAGCATCAGACCCAAGAGCCTCAGCGTGCAGCACTGCATGGCGTCCCCTTGCACGACCTGAGCAACGACAGAGAGGTTAATGGCAGGGATCTCAAAGTCATATAATCCGGGGGGCGTCTGGCTGGGGGGGGGGGCCTTCAGCTTGAGCAAACTTTGAGCAAATTTCGCCACCTCCCATTTGATCTATTATTCTCTGTGGAAACCAATCAATTGATCAGTGAGCAGTATTTAGTGATTCAAAAACACGTACTTTGAGACACGTATTGTGAGGTCCCTGAAATAAAAGGACAGTTCACCCCAAAAATTATTTTTTTTTTTGAGATATGCTGTAGGGCTATTTATCCATCCTGATTGTTGTGGTGAGAATTGCCTACTTTTGGAAATATCGGGCATAGGTATATGAGCCTTCTGGCTAATAAAATGAGATTGAATGGCATTCTTTATGTGGTTATTAAAGCACCAAAAATACATCTGAAAAATTCAGCAGCGATGTCTCCTACCAGAAATCATGACAGAGTTACTCAAGATAATCCACAGAATTTGTAGTGAGCAGTTCGATGTAGGAACTATTTTCTTTCTACCGAGCTCCACACACCAACCGTATCACTGTGCAGAAGTTGTCTAGCCTCTTGATGGCAGTAGTGAGCACAAAAAGGAGTAATGTGCTCAGGATTAATATTACACAAATGGCTACCTTGAGTGGCCAAAGCAGTGTTTTCAGATTAATATGCGGCTCTGTGAAAACTTCACTGCACTTCCCCGTTTCCAGCAGCCTCATGACACCAATTACTGCCCTATGTCTGACGAGAAGCAAACCTACAAGCCAATTTTACATGAGAGAAAAAAAAAAACAAATGCAACAAAATTGACATGACATGTAACTATGTCACTGGTTGTGGTAGCAATAATACTGTAGTCCTTTAAAAAAACGATGAGATATATTACATGTATACAAAACAAAACCTCAAACGTTTGTTCAGGTAAGACGATAAAAATAAGCTCTAAACAAGCTTCAAAACTCCATTAAACCTACTGACCAATCAGAGTGAAGCGTAGTTGAGGGGCGGAGAGAGAGTCCGTCTGTTTTTGCCAGCATGAGATAATGAAGCAAGTTTTCAGTTTGTAAATACGCCTGAAGGGTGATATATCAAAGCTCTCTTTGAAAAGGGACTGTTTGGTCTGCTGTAGCTGGACCAGAGCTGCAAGCTACGCTGGAACTACTCAACGAATGAGAAGAGAAAACGAACCAGCAACCCACAGGACAGTTTTTAATAACAACAAAAAAAAAACTGGTTTGTGTGAACCTTCATATATATAAACAGATGTTCCATTCATACTCAGTCAAATGTGAAATGGGGTCCAATGTGGGCAAACTGGCCCTCTGGTCCTTACCTACTGGCTGTAAATACGGCACAGGTCACCAATGCTGTAATAGCAGACCTCCCAGTTCCGTTCCACAAGGACTTTACCCCATCCTATTCGCCTGGGGGGCCAACAGCAACCTGGGGGGAGAAGGGGATGACGTCAGTGGCGGACAGAAGGCTCGGGTGGGAGACTGGCTTTATTTACATTTGCAGACCACCCTGAACACCACAAAGGAGAGACCAGCAGCAGTATCCACATTCAGCTCAACTTAGACGCAAGTCTGTTAAGGTGCTTATGGGGGGGGGGCTTATTATGGTAATTTGTGGGCTGACTCACAATAGAAGGAAAGTGTGGCAGTGAGAAATATTTTTACCAAAAAAGCTTTGTGGTGCTGTGGATGGGAGGGGGGCGCTCAGGGAGAGGCCCTGATAGGCTTCTACATAGACCACCCCCCAGGAAAAACAAAAAGAGAAAAAAAACTTCAAAGCTGGGAAACATGATTGAGTCTGTAGATTAGCAGCGGAGGATTAAACATGTCTGGGCCTTCTGCGCTCCCTGACGAGATCAGAGCGTGGAGGTCTGGCAAAGCGGGGAAGGAATGTTCATTTCCAGAAAGTTTAGGAAAGCAGACGGCTTTGGTCGCACTGGCTGGATGCTGTGGACCCAGATTTGGGTGCATTCCAGTCAGCCACCTAATGTGTGCTCAGTGACACGTGTTCTGTCTGTGGCTATTTGCATATCCTTCCCCGATCGCGCCATCCATGAATGGTCCCGCTTCCTGCATCTTTTGTCTCTCACTGCACTGCTGTTAGTCCTATTGTCCCCCATGCACCTGTCCCCTCTTCTGCAAATGTGGCATAATTTTACCGTATTCCTCAGAACAAATGGGACAATAAAACTTGAAACTTGAGCTTCAAGTGAATCACCTTAAATGTGAACCAGATATATCTTTTTCTTTATCTTTCTAATTTAGGGGTGTCAAACATTTCAGTTAATGAGCTACGTTGGCCCCAATTCAGTCTCGTGGGCGGGACTGAGAAAATTGATATGTCCGAGGAATACTTCTTAACATTTGTTTTTCCTGGTTTATTTCAGGCGTAGCACGGTAAAGAACATTCTGAATGCAGAAATGGGAAAAATCACCTAAAATGTTCAATAGACCTAAACACCATATGGAAAAAAAATCATTTTCAAAATATGAATGATTTCCCCCTCACAAGCTACCTTCTCAATTACAGAACATCATTGGTGCTTAAATATTACTGGTATAATGCAGGATGAACAATATCTCGTCATAAACTGTAACTGTGCTAGTAAAAGAGCCAGTTTAATTTCTCGCCAGGAGAACATGTTAAAGTGGATTTGAGAAAGCACTTCTTTACACAGCGTGTAGTTAGAGTATGGAAAAGTCTCCCTGCCACAGTAGTGCAAGCTGAAACCTTGGGTTCCCTTAAATCAGAGCTAGATCAGACTTACGGTGACGCATGACACGTACACTGGGAAAAGCTGCTGTAATAGCTTTAGCAGGTGAAGAAATATATTTTCCCCCCCCCCCCCATTACTGGTGGATTTGCCTAATTGTTAGCCCCTGTGGTCACCAAAGCATGCATGGAACTGTCTAAACTGTATAAAAGTTTTTCCCTTCCATCCCTGGTGAGTGATAGGCTTCACCAACCAAGTACAAACACAGAGACAGCATATTCAGCTGGGCAGTCTGATACCTCTTTCTCCATTTGTGGTTTTGGAAACCAGTAGGACTGGGCCAGACTACCCAGACACGGCTAAGCTGTCAAAGTACTGTTAATTAACCACAGGCTTACATTTCTGCTTTTCTAATTTCATCCATCATGGGTTGCCATCAATAGTCAACACAAAACTTCATAAAATATCCAGCACGAGGCAATATGAGTCAGAAGAAGGGATGGAGGTCTCAACCTCTCACTGCATCACACTGCGATTCCCAGAAAACAGCCTGTCAGCTGAGTTTTTTTTTCTTCTTCCTTAGACAGGAAGCTTGTACATTTTGTGTAGGCTCGGTACAACCTAAAAGCTGCTGGTAGGGCGGGACAAAGGAAGTGCGATTGTTTTAAGACTGACAGGTGATCAACAGAGTTGATTCACTGCTTGCCAACTGATTGAGGGGGGAGGGGGGCAGCTGCAACAGCCGCATTAACAGACATGCAGCAATGATGCATCTGTCTAGGAGGCAGCTGTCACATGACTTTTTGTTTGCATAATACCCATGGGGGGGGGGCATTGTGTGACTGGGATTTTAGAACAAAAAGTTTGGCATGGTTCATTAATCTAAGGTAAAATAAGGGGAGCTGAGGCAGAGTAATTGACAACAATTTCATGTAAATATTACCCTTGGTAGGAATAATCTCCACCACCATCTATAATGGTTCTGAGCTGGGCGGTAAGGTACACCACTGTGTGCTAAGGCTAACAGTGCTAAGCCCTAATAGATCTGTGGCACTCCGTGGAGATTTCCGACAACAACAGCTCCTCGTTATTGGACATTCCAGATCTCCTGCTTTGCTGGCCAAAATGTCCTCAGGCTTCGGCAGAAGAAAAACTGCTAAAGTAAAAACAAAAAATATAAAGGGCCGTAAGTTCAAGGAAGGAGTAGTCAAGAGTTTGGTGACCTGACACGCTCAGCACTGCATGGCGAACAGATCTAAGGAAGCTCCTATTAGATGGAGTTAATGGTGAAAGAGGAAGTTTGCTGCCGTGATCACGACAGAACAAACTCTAACCCCAAATAATGGGGTTTAAAAGTGTTTGAGGAACCCCCACATCTCATTTCCCTTCCTGTTTGGAAGATATGACTGACCTGTGAATCAACACTGCTAAACCATGCAGTTAATAGTTACGAAGGATGCGGAAAGAGTCACTGCAGACTCAAGCAAACTTGCATGACTGAGCATCATTTTTTTATGGCTTGTGCGGCTCTGAAGAGATTTAGAATGATGTCCAGCATGAATTTTAGCAGTTAAGAGAAAATGTCTGATACCTATGTTTAAAGCGAGTTCAAAGCCCAAACGGAGGCCTTCAACATGACATTTTTCACTGTCCTGAAGGGGCCAGGATGCCCTCAAGCCCTAACCCAATCGACTGCATAAAGCACTTGGTCCTGTTCACATGCTCTCAGTGTGGCCTGGCACCACCTCTTGTTTGAAACACCAGAGATATGTAAATTTATCTGGCAACTTAACTCGCAGCCAGGTTCCAGTAGATAAACCCCTACAGCCCAGTCTCGGAAGGCACTGACCCCTAAAGGATCAGACTCAAGAGCTCCAGGAGGCCCTGTTAAAATCAATCATGTTATGGCAATAACATAGTCATAATACCTGACAGCCACAATAATTAGACAGGTATTAACAAAATTCAAAATTCAAAATTTTATAATGACAAAAAAGTTGCCATATCTAAGTCGGCTATAGGAACAGGCACCAGATGACTGTCAGAAACTCGGAGGGTGTCTCACGAGACATGCGGGCGCCTGGGGGGCGACAGAGCGTGACTTCAGGCAGGAGGCCCATGACGTCATGCTCTGGGTAAAACCTGCCAGACATCGGAGCATGGACACTGCTCGATCCATGGCTCGAGACGAACCACCTCGTTTACTAACATTTCTTTGAAAGCATAACACTCATGTCTAGTTATCTGGTCAATACAATTAGTCATTTGTAGCATATACTTGGAACATTTTCAGACCATGATGCTCAATAAATATCCATCCATCCATCTATCCATCCATCCTCTGCAGACCGCAAGGTTATCCTGTCGTTATGTAAAATATTTAAATCTGAATGTTTAGATCAGCTGAATTTTCCAGGCAAACTTATTCCTTCTGTCGTCAGAATACCATTTTGTAAAAAGTTTAATAAACACTTAAAACACATCTTATACTCCCAGAGAATAAACGCATCTCTCCGTTCTAATAGCCTACTAGGTCACGCAGGGTTGGCACGAACAAGGTAGCCTATTTGGTGCTTTTAAAGAACTGACTTTTAACATCTCATAAACTCATGAATTGTTTTGCGGACACATTCTTAGAAAAAAAAAGCATCTTGACTAATATACTTTCCAAGATCCAATATAGCGCCTTACGGTATTAATGAGCAATCATTCACGTGCAGCCCTAATCAGAGTGCAAGCATTTTAACGCACCGCTCCTGGTTTAAGGATGAGCGATACCACTATCTTTTCGGTCCGATTTAATCCGATATTAAGGTAGGAAGCCCCAATTTCGATACCGAAATTCGATGTCTGGCTATTTAAGTCAGGCTACCAAGTAAAAAAAAAAATCGATATATTAATTTCAGAATAGTTACTCAAAATGAAACCTTCACACTGAAAGAATCGATATTTCAGTATCGATCCGCACATCCTTAATTTATTCACCACCAGAAAGGTTTTAGAAAAAAGAAACTGGTATTTTTAAAATGGTTTCAGTTGCTAAGGCTTTAAATTACAACCTGATAGAGAATCCGATCTTCGAATTGTTTTCTGTGCTGCATTTAGTCGAAGCTTACAATATATTATATGTCTTTTTTCATTTTAAACAATACGAATTATCCTGAAATCACTTAAATCATTCAATCGGCTACAGTAAAAACATCGATTAGCATTTATTATTATTTCGTAAAAAACTTCAAATGACAGTACTTCCCCTAACATTATTCCCTTAATTTGCTCCATACATGACTTTTTAAGGGAATTATTAATTTCCTGTTGTGTTGAAAAGTCCCAGTGACTATTGTTCCTTAGTTACAGGTCTAACCGTTGAAAGTTTTTCTTATGCTACATCTTGTGTCGTCTCTTTACACAGCAGAAAGCAGACTTTGTATCTCTCCCCTCCGAAATAACAAATTATACTGAAACATACGTTTTCAGCCAGGGATCCGCAAAAAAACACTGTAGTACTTGTTTGAAAGAGCAACGAAACTGTACGTGAATAGCACAACTGTCGCTGTTCAGTTATAAGACGCGTTCGAAATGGCTATAAAATAAATAATGTCAAATACCTTGAGAGTTTCGGTCAATTATTCCGCTTGAAAACAGCCAAGGCGACACCGTCTTACGCCGCTCTGCTCCGTTCGCCGTGCGCCGCGGAAAACGCCCCTCCTAAGTATGACGTGAGCCTAAATTTTAGTTTTTGGAAGGGCGGGTATCTGTGTCTTTTTCAGTTATACTGCCCATGGAGTTTTATCGTTTCGTAATGCTATCCTGTCCTATAAGGATTCTTTGATAGGGACCTAACGGTCTGTACTTAAGATTAAACATAAACGAAGCATCAAAGACAATCAGCACAGAACGTGTAGTGCCATAAACTGCGATCCATGAGTAATTCAGTTAAATGTTAATTTGCTTTCCTGCCTGAAGAAGGCGTGTATTGAGGGACTCTCATTCCCGAAGTATGAATTGCAAGTTAAAAAGGATTAGAGCATTATAAGATTGTAATTGTACGCCCTATAATACCATTTTGGCGCATCTAAAGCTAAACTGTCCGTTGAACATGACCAACAGGATTGTTTGAAATGTAATGGAATAATATAGTCACAGAATTCTCCAGATGAAGACGTATCCCACCAACGATCTGACGGTCCTTTGTTCTGTTTTTGGCACCTGCTGTAGAATTTTCATAATTGGTTTAAATCTGGTAAAAAAATTCTAAACAGGGATCTTTTTGTTTGTTTTATTAGAAACAGCACCTGCCTGGCTGGCTGCGTATTACAGTACAATGAAAGCCAGCTCGGTAAGTTACTGGGCATTAAGTCTGACAGATGACACGCAGATATGATACAGAGGTTTGGCCAGTTAGTCATAACTCCTTGAAAAAACTCCAATGTCTCTGAATTCACCACTTGAACCAGAAGTATTGGGGGAGATTATAAAGAACAGATAGGGAACTTCTGAGATTTGATACCATGGAAGCTCTTTGAAAGGGTCCAGTCGCTGTCTTAGGAGGTTTTTAGTGTCGGATAGGGAGTTCCCTGACAATTACGCTGTGATTTCACATTCATGTTGGCACTCTTTCATGTCAGTTGGCAATGACATTATTTGTAAAGGAAACTTTTTTCCACTCTTACTTTCAGTGTATTCTGAATGTTCTGTATGTACATCAAAGTTGCCTAACCCACCTTTTTCTCACAGCGGTGATGTGCGTCTCCATCATGTGTGTCTGGTTTTGACCGTGACTACAGTTTACACCTTGCTTTTGGCAAGCAAGCCCGACTCTTTCTTCTTCCTGTAATCTTAGCATGCCCTGCTTGTGTGTGTGTGTGTGTGGGGGGGGGGCAGCCAGGTGACCTTGGACCCCAGAGGCTTTTCTTGTCCCTACCTGGTTTCTCTCCTCCATTGTCAGCTGGCTTTCTTTCTTTTATCCTTTCTTTCTGCCTTCCCTTTACCCTGTTTTTGTGTTACACTGTAGAAATGTTGTGGTAATGTACTAAAACGCACACCCATGTAAAGCATCTTAGAATGACTATGCTGTGAAAGGCGCTATATAAAAATGAATTGAATGCAAAACAGTTATTGGGAATTTTATTGGATACTTATTGTTGTGTAAAAAAAGACGATTGTGAAAGGAAAGGGCTCTGAATCAGGCTGTTGATCTTTTCAATAAAGAATTACATATATATAAATATGTATATCTAATGAATCGAACTGAATGTAACAGCAGGTTTCTGTTTATACCAAGCTTTTACTTGGTATACAAGCGTTTGCTTGGTATACAAGCTTTTACTTGGTATACAAGCGTTTGCTTGGTATACAAGCTTTTACTTGGTATACAAGCTTTTACTTGGTATACAAGCGTTTACTTGGTATACAAGCGTTTGCTTGGCACTGGGCACATTGTGCGTATCGGAGGCTGCAGAAGATGGTGTGCATCTTAGTGACATGTCACTGTCCTTGGGGAAATGCCATCCTGCTTACCCTGCACCCGCTGCAGGTGAGGCCCCAGTCCTGATTAAGAGGGGCCCCTTCTGGTGAGCGCGCACTCTTGTACAATTAAGATGGCAAATCGACAGGGAGAGATGACAGGCTGTGCACTTGTGTGTGTCTTTGTGTCCTTTAAGACTAGATATGACTTATATATAAAACAGTAACAAGTACAACAGCACTAATAATAATAACAAACGCTAGAAACAGATAAAACTGAGAGCCTGCATCCCTGCATCCATTAATTTAATTTGTAATTGTAATTTAAGCAATGATTTATTTGTGCACGGATCGACATAATCATTTGTAACAAATGTGAGTAAATTGTTATGGAATAGCAGAATCTTTCAGCACATACCTGTACTGTATGTGTAGTTTTTGTCATTCATAAACGGACGTGTCTGGCCAGTAGGAGTAGCGTCTTTTGCATGTCTGCCCGCCGCATCTCAGATAACATTGCAGCTCGCGGTGACAAAGGATGCTGAATAGAAATGTCCTGGGGACCTGGGCCCCTCGGGCGAGTGCATGACAACCACACATGTTGTCTCACGTGGCAGTAGAATTCAATAGGTTGCCGGGTCCGTTGCCGGGAAACGGGAATTATACGCAGTGATGCTTCCGCTGTTGCCGCGGAAGCATATTCCGTGATGTCAGCACCGGTCACGTATTTCGTTATGGTAGGTGGAGGTCAACATCTGGAAGTCTGACTGGTCGGCTTCATTGTCTGTTAGTGTCCTATTGAAATCTGACAATCCATGAAAGGAGCATGAGAACTATAGCATGCTTAGCTCATTAAGCAAGACATTTGGGAAGAACAGAGGCCCAAAGCGAAACAATAATTAATAATGTAAAGGCTAATGGAGATTACAAATGGAAAGGGCGAGCCTATTACAAGCTGCCTTCATCATCATTATGTCCTTTGCAAAGATACCAGACCACTCTACCGTTTATGGAAGGTGACATAAAGGCCAGTCTGGGGACTAGGTGAAGTAGACTGGCGTGTTCTGGTGTGCCTGGGATATATGTTTTCTAAGCATAATAATCCCTGTCTTAATGATAATCTTAATATACGACCAGCATGCCCACATCAAGAAACTTAACGATCTCCCACTGCCTTCGATTAGAAATTGTATCTGCACAAACCAGCCTGAGTCTGGATGTTTGTTATGATGTCATTAAACGTGCACACGAATCCGCAGTGGTGTTACTGAGGCTTTACACACAGCTACCTGCTCGTGAAGTTCGTGACGTACAGCCATGTAAAGCTGTCATGGATCCATCGGGCTGCTGCTTCCTGGCTCATTGTCTCCAAGCTGCCATTCGTGCATTTTTAGTCTCGCAATAATTAACGGTGTCAATCAATGGTACTTTGACGCAGCTCCTCAGGGGATTTGACCCATTTTTTGGGCCTTTCTTACTAAGCCAGAGCCAACATCCATGATTTTCAAAAATACACTGGGAGAAATTTTTAAACATAACAAATTTTGAAGTAAAAGGTCACATTTTAAAAGAAACACTGAGGCAGAGCTGTTTTGAAGCATGATTTATTGAAATTTTTCGCAAACAATTAATAATGACTAAGGACTTAGGGTTTAATTCTGTTTTAATTCTACTACCATATGTTAAAATAAAATATAATTTGCATTTTGTTCCATAGCGGAACATCTGCCCTGCAATTACACTCTCCACATATTCAAGTGACTCATTAGTCCAGAAAAAGAAATCAATTAATAAAAAAACGGTTTTGATTGAAACTGTTTCCGTAATGTACCATGTATAAGTAAACAGTGGTAGTTAATGCTTCTCAGCCTAATAACTGTTTACAGGAAACTGACCATTAAACATTATCAGAGCAGTTTTTGCTGAAAACAACTTAGACGTTTTAGTTTAGTTTGGAAAAGCATCCAATAAACAACCAATGGCCCTCTTTTAAACCATTTTGCTAAAAAAATCAAAACATTAGGCTCGTACCAAAGAGGCAAAACCACCCCCACATGACGCAAATAATGTTGATTATCTTGCAAAAGCAGCACATATCAAGGTCTGTGATTTATTAGACCCTGTTTACACTTGCATCTTGGGCGATCGGATCAGAAGTGGGCAATGCTAAATATCAGGGCAAACAATTACCAAGATGCATTGTGACCTGATCACTCAATCCACTCGGGAGGTATTTGACCGAAAAGCTATTATATTGTAAATGCTAATTTACCCTGATTCGCCTGAATCGCCCCTGACAAAGATGGTACAATGACCGCACGGGGCAGTAATGAAATCTGAGCATAAGTTGTCAGACACAAGTGTAAATGGTGACGTGTCTCTGGGCTGTCTTCACCCAAGACAGAAAGCCAAGTGTAAACAGAGCCTGAAATGGTTACCAACATTCGTTAAGCTTGGGCAGTCTGACTGACCTATAGCTAGGCAAGCCGGCCCCGGGATCAATGCAGCCGTGACGCATCTCTCCCAGACCGTCATGGACGCTTACTGCGGTTTCTGTCCCTCTCTTGGTTTGTATCAGATAAGACAGCCTTTGCGCACATCTCGTGTCACAAATCTTTGCCACTCCACACCCTGTTGGCGGATTGTGGTTTTTCCTCAGACCGCTCTCAGTAGGTACTCACCAAGGCTGACCATAAGCCTTGCCTTTTCAGAGATGCTTTGCCCCAGTCTGTGATTTTGGATTATTTATAATGATTTGGCCCTTATCAAAGTCACTCAGATCTTTACCGTAAAACAAGATAGGTACCTTTTTTCCGATATAGTTAACGTTACACACTTCACGTAGGGGTGGTCAAAATGTTTCTGCATTTGTTCATTTTCTTTGAGCTCATGGTTCCAATTTCCATTCAGTTTTTATCAGAACCAAAAGAAAACCTCTTTTCCTGTTACTATAAAAATGTTTTTAAAAATCGACTTAAATTTCATGCAATAAATTTCTTTCCAAAAATAGCAGCAGTAACAATTTTTATAAAACAGTTAAGGCTTTGAAATGGTGAGAAAATCTCTACTCTCGTGGACTGATGCAGTAGTAGCATTAAACATTAAATTGACACCTTTAATTTGGGGCATGTAATGATTCATTTTTAGTAGTAAAAAGTATCAATTGGCCTGCAGCATTTTGTAGATTTTTTTTCCTCAAAATAAATTGAAATGAATTAATGTATTGCACTAATGTAACTCACAGTAATGAGTTACAAGACCAAAACACCAAATCTATGTATAGAATTAAGTGATCATTGTCAACACACCACAGCAACGAAATGTGACCTCTGCATTTGACCCATATGTGACTTTCGTGACATAGCAGGGGGCAGCTAATTCAGTGCCCGGGGAGCAGTGCTTGGGGACGGTACCTTGCTCAGGGTACCTCAGTGGTGACTTGCTGGTGGGGGATTTGAACCTGAAATCTTTCAATTACAAGTGCGCTACCCTAACCATCAAGCCACCACTGCCCACATACTATGCAATACATTAATACATACAGTGGCATGCAAAAGTTTGGTAAAAATTTCTGTTACTCTGAGTAGCAAAGCATGTAAAATATGACTGGATTTCCTAAAGGAATAAAATTACACGACAC